TTTTTGCATTTACGGATTTAAATTAGTGGTGCTGTTAATTTTAACTTCTGACAATTATCTGCCTTTATAGGTTGATGCTTTTATTTTGTGTTGTTTACGTTTATTTATGTTGAGCTCTTAATAGTAAATACAACACATGGAGTCATGTCACAGAAAACACTAGGAATAGATTTGTTTAATATATCTTTAGGCAATTACATCCACAGATGTTTTGTATTAATTTTAGGGAAACAAGTATTAGTGCATCAAGCACAAAGGGATGAAAGCATTGATCAGTTTACACCTTAAACATTTCAAAGGAGAAATTATTCAAGAAATATGTGAATCAAAGTTAACCCCATGTGTTGCTTTATGTTCTTCAATCAGCTTATATTAATGATTAAGAAGTAACACAACTTAATTTGTGGTAGATTTAAAAGGTATATTTCTACTTTCAAAGCATTTTAAACCAGGAGTAACAGGGGAATGCATCGATTCAAATTTGTTTCAGGCATTTTGAAACTGTCATTTAAAGGTTCAAGATTTTATGAATATTTGTCCTATTCTTTTTACTAGTATTACTGTAATGGTATTTGTGCCTTAGTCAGAGATAAAAACTGTCTTAATTCCACAATATGACTAACAAGGACATTCCCAGTGCAGTTCTGCCACGCACACAAATACCAGTGAAAAACAAAAAGCTACAGGCTTTTTTATAGCTGACTGTGATTAGAGTCAGATGCTAGAGAATGACTGTTTCTGTTTTCAAAGAGACAGGAAGAGTGACAATGACACACAGATGGATATAAAGAAATATAGCACAGCTTTTTGATTTACCATCTTCTTTAGTGTCAAGCCAGAATCATTACTGCCCAGAGGCCGACATGTGTGCGTTCTCCCAAAGAATGATCGTAAATGATGAAAGGAAGCTGTGGTTTTCTGGTTAAATTAACAGGGGCAGTTAATGAGGTGAAAGGCTGACAGCATCAGCTCAGATTCACTCAAGAGCAGAGGCCCTCATTCACAGTGCACAGGAGTGCTGGTGGGAAATGGATTCCTTATTCTCCAGGTGTTCGACATGTAATGATTTCCAAAAACAGAACTCATTATTTTCTGAAAGACTGTTAAATCAGAGATGAGATAACACTGAGCAGCTGCTCCGTTTAAAATGAGAGAAAAGCAAATGTTGCATTTTTCGCAATAAGAAAAACAATGGATAATGTTACATTGTATTACTATAGAAAGAGTACAGTAGAGATCATCAGATAAGTGCTAAAATATTTGAAATAAAAAACCCCAACAGTGTTTATACTGAGGTACATTACCCTGAACTCAGTGGTCCATTCAGCTTTCCCAGATAGTCTCATTGGCCACTAAACACCACAAATCGAGTCTGGCTTTCTTGACTGACATTTATCATCCTTACTAACAGAGGCTGACCTGTATATGGAGCGAGGGAGAATAAATGTGAATTCACTTTTCATCAATAAACTGTCAAATAGTAAAAGACATAACTAATGTTTTTCTTTTTCCAATTTAAATAAAAACCAGATGCAATGGTTTCAGTCTGAACATGTTGCAGCCAGAGAACATCGTGACAAAAACTGTGAAAGATTAAGGAGATGTGAAAGGAAGGATGTTCAAAAAGAGGAACCACCTCATTGTAGAAGGCTGAGGCCAACTAAACTTCTCCAGCTATTTTGCCCAGCTTGCGTCTGCGGTGGCTGGTGTGACACAGCAGGGCCTTTTTGAGATATTCCCAGACAGACCAGGCCCTTCTGGCCAGGCTGACCACTACAGGGAGGAGAACAGGGATCAGTGGAAATCATGATATTTCATGTTAGGAAACTTTTCTGAGTCAGTGCTGCTGTTCAAGAAAGAAGTTGGAAGATCCAAGCTGATGATCTAACTGATTGTCAGGTGGAATACAGGTGTGCCTCCAGGCTGCTCTGTTAAAGGAGAACTCCACAGATTTTACAAATTAAATCTGTTTACAGGTTTTGTGGAGTATTGCTGCATGTGTGAAAAAGTTGTATAAGGCCTTTTGTGGCTCCAGAGAGAGCAGCGTGAAGTGAGTGTGACAATGTTATAGTAATCTTTTAAAGTCAAAACCTCTAAACTGGGCAACCAGCACTCCAAGTGTATTATAAATCTCAATCTGCTCTGGCCTCAGGTAACCAGACAGAGTTAACCTCAGTCTGGGACAGACTGAATATTTATAACGATAGAAATAAAATGGTAAACTGAGGCCAGACTGCTGAGAGTTTTTGTTGTTACTAGGGTGCAATTATCAGAGTTTAGATATAAATAACGGACACCCCTAAGGCCCGTGGGAGCGTGTACGCGTCCAAATTTTACTTTGTCTTTAGAGCGTCATTACTCCATGACTGTTTGAGCTACAGACTTGCCGTTTTTTCTCCTTAAACTTGAGAATTTTCTAATAAGCCCCTGTTCGATACATTAACATTAGAAGTTAGAAATATTTGGAGCAACTAGTTTTACCGTTTGTCTGGTGCATTGCTGCTTTCCGTCTGTGTGTTTATTGATCATCATCATCCGCATTCTATGCCAGTTACGTCTACAGTTACGTCACTCAATTCGACATTCCTATTAGTTCCAGTGGGTGCTGTCACAGCCAATCAGTGTCTGATCCAGTGGCTTGGCCTGCCTTGGCTGTATACTCAAATTTAGGAGGGACGATTAGGGCCACATGTGAAAAAAAATCTATTTAAAGATATCTTTTGTAAGAATTCTGACTTTTTCTGAGATTGAAGTTGGAATTCTGAAAAAAAAATTGTTTTCACATGTGTTCCCAATCCTGTAATTCTGTACAAATTACAGTACTATTTAATTCTCAGCTCAGAGTGAGAAGTGGTTCTGAATTTATTGTAGTGATTGAAAACAGACAAAAGGATGTGACCAGGATGAGACCAGCAGAGACTTTGGAGCTGATTTTTCATAAATAGTGCTCCAAAGAATGAGCAGAACTCATGATCAGATAAAGATAGAAACTTCAAATCACCTCTAGAACAATCCAAACAAATGTGTGCAACTTTTGTGTTGAAATTTTCTTTCTTTATTATGGTTTGCAGTGCTTTTATCCATAAAATTAGGAAAAAAACAGGTGCCTTTTTTTTTTGTTTGTTTGTTTAATGGGCTATTAACCCCTAGTACGCTGTACTGAAGTTTTTATTGAGTGACATATATTATTACCTGAGGGTATTCTGATTCTGAATATGTGTAGCACTTCGTGAAACCTTGGTGAAGATTTTATTAGGAAAAACACAAAGGTATGAAAAAACAAAAGTCTAATTGTGGGCATGAAGGCAGAAGAGGAGGTGGTGAGAAGAGGAAGAACAGAAAAAGAGAGAGGGGGCCACATGATGAAAAACAGCATAAGGCATAACCACTCTCTATCTCTCACACACACACACACAAACACACTGGTAATTGGCCTTAGTCAGGGATCATGTTGAACACTGGCGATCAATGTTGGAAAATGTCTCTGGAAACCCTGGAGCCATGGAAAAGCCTGGAATTTCTCTGTAAAAATAACTAATTCCACTGTTTATTCATTCTGCTGCTGTCTTTTGGCAATAAAATTATAGTTTCGCAGAGTGCAGTGACTATCTGGTATTTTACTGCACAATGTGTTTACATGAGAGAGAGGGAAGGAAGGAGGGGGGGGGGGAGGTATGGAGAAATATGCAGGAATTTACTTTGGCAAAAACACAGGAATACAGCTGAGCTGAAAAATACACACACACACACACATCAACAGATGTAAACACTGATCAAAGATTAATGACATCAGATCAATTTATTTAAGACATTTTAATAGTTCTGTGCAGCAAACAGAATGACCATGTGCATTATTCTGTGTACATAGAGAAATCTGAGAAAAAAATTGTCACAATTCAAATACATTAAAATAATCAACTGTAAAAATCCACATAGAAAACATTCTCTTAAAAAAAGACGTTATGAGCAAAAGGAATGACTCAAATAAAAAAAAAAAAAACAACTAACATTCCAGTGATGTTCTGATATTCTCTTTCCTTAATGTTGAACAGCTGGTATCTGGTACACACAGTCACCTGGCACTGTCCACTTGAAGAGATGGGCAGAAAGATGAAACAGGAATTGTGTCTGTGGTTTAAATACAGCTACAACATATTTTCTGCTTCAGAGTGGGAACAGCACCTAATTATTTTAAGTGTTACTGGATTAAACTGAGGCACCAGCACATGATCAGAACAAGGAATTCTACACCTACTGTTCTTAAAGAACCTCATTTGTTGTCATGTTGTTTAAGTGCCAGTTCCTCAACGTCCAAAGACGCTCAACTTTTTATGTTAGATGTCATGTGATTGCTGGTGTTGTTGAGAAAAAAAAATCTGTTATTTTATAAAGACCACTAATATGACCCCCAGTGGTTTTTGGATCCTGAGGCTGGCTGGATATCAGGGCAAGAGTGCACGCTACAGTATTGTGTTTGCATAGGAATAAATATTGCATGGAGCAGCTGACATCACCTCTCAGGACTCCTGTCAAATATTACACCACAACATCATGGCAACATGTATGCTGATGGCTACTGAATACCAACAAAGGAAAGGCCAGACATTCAGCAACTACTGCTGCAGTTCAGTGGGAGGGGAAGTGGGTGAACACACACACACACACACACACACACACACACACACACACACACACACGTCTCAGCAGTTTTTGGGCAGTTTTCCAGTGTGCTACATCCTCAGCAGAAAGACCACAAAGCTGTTTATGAAACCTAACATTTATGACAGCATAGTCGGTACCATACAGTAATTACAGATGGCAACACACACACTCAAACCTACATGCACAAACACACACAAATTTAGGGAGTCAATTGCGCACACAAAACTAAATATAGGTGGCTTACTGCACGCGCGCACACACACACACACGCAGGCGCACGCACACACACGCAGGCGCACGCACACACGCACGCACGCACGCACGCACACACACACACACACACACACACACACACACACACACAGGCATGTAAACTGCTCAGGCCAGCTTTTGTATGGAAACACCCTTTTAAAATGCAAAGTTTCTTTTTTGGTTTAACTGACTGTGAAAGAACTTTCTCTTCCCATCTAACTATACTTCCCTCTGGGGTTTATGAGAGTGTTCATGTTCATGGATGAAAGATGTAACATGTAACTGTTGTAGGCATGTGTGGCATTACAGCGTAGACAAGTTTATGTAAATTATCCTCATTTTTATGTGATATGTAACTGATACATGCAAACAAGTGCACTAAATCCCTTCTCATTAAACAAACAACACACTGAAACACCCAGGTGATGACTGCTCCACACATCACCCCAGTGCAAACTGTGACTGGACAAAACCTGGAGGTGAAATGACAAGACTGGATTTCTACTGGTTGGCACTTTTTTCAATAATACAGCAAAAATGATTAACATTTACACAGTATATTAGACAGTTACATACAGTATATTAGACAGACATAACACAATAAGTTTTGTAGGTTAAAAAAAAAAAAGCGCAAAGTGATCATGGCTGAAACATCCAGAGAAACCTATGAAGCTGTCGTAGGATGTGCCTAATTCCAGACATTCCAAAGTTAAATTTAGAATTTGGAAATAACCTCAAAATAAAGGGTGGATCCCTCCTGAGTAAGTCTTTGGAATTCCTCAAGATGCCCGCTGGTGAAAGACAAGTGAATTCAGTGATGCAGAAATACAGAGAACAGAAACAGACAAGAATACGTTAACAGATATGTGCACATGCTGAACAAAGCAATTAACATTTTTATGACACTGGCAAAAATCCAAATGTTGATGAGGGACATTCGAGAGTTTAGGGGAGAGCCCTGCCTTCATGCTCTGCCTCTCTCAGTCCTCACAGAAGACACAGTCAGTGCTACCCTAAAAGATGGTCCTGTTAAGACAAAGGTCAGAAGAACACAGGCCTTTTTTCACTAAGATAATCTCAGATTGATATTGGCCCCTGGAATGTCTAAGAAATTTATCTGCGTTTGGATATCACTGACTCTGAGTAAAAACTTTCTGCCTGCTCTGCCTAATTAGAACGAGAGGGAGCAACATCCAGTAATTCCTCCAATGACTCTGCCCCCTCTAGTTTAGCCTCCTCTTTCTCATCTGACTTCTTCTTTGCGGGCAGTTTACTTGACGAAGGCGTGTCCTCCTGCATCAACTCTTTGGCCAGGATGTTGGTCACTGCATGACCAGCTCGTCGGTGGTTGGCTGAGAAAGAGAAAGTCAGGGTGAGTGAGATAAACAAATAAAGACATGATAATAAATTACATGCTGTGTTTTTTTTTTTATCACAACAAGTCCATACACATATGTCATTGCATGCCGTGAAGTGACATATCGGATGTACGTGCATAAAAGACGTGTAAAAACACGTCGGTTAGCCATACAACACGTCAGCAGCCAGATACTGAACATTTGTCACTGCAAATATGAAGAGACAACCAGTTTGATTAGTTAACCCGACTACTGGGCTGCACACAGTCACGAGCGTGAGCATCTGAGAACATTATAGGCATGTGTTTTGAATGATAAAACACAAAATTAATGCTCCCTTTCTTTCAAACATACATCCAACATACATGCATTAGAAAGACACACACACAAATGACTGAGTAGGGTGGCTGTGTTTGGATTAGAGTGATATCTGAAGCAGCTCTCTGCTAATGATCATGATCTTAAAGTGGAAAAAATGAAGAAAAGAAGAACGAAAAAGGAATAAGAGACATTTAGGAGGAAATGGGACGGATGAGATGAAGGAATGGAGATGGTGAGTGTGTAAAAGCAAGGAGGGAAGGAAGGGGGAAGACGGAGGGTTAGACAACACGAGAGGAGCGTGATGATTCATGCTGTGGGAGGATTAAAGAGGCAGGGATGAATGAAAATGAGACAAACATGGATGGAGAGACTGGGTGAGAGGAGGAATGAGCCGTGAGGTAAGTAGTAAAATAGATCACAGGGAAACAGTGGATGCAGTGAGGACAGATAAGAGATGCACAGGGACGGACAGAGAAACACAACAAGTGTGACAGATTGTGCCCTGAGGATGCTGTCATTTTTATCCTACCTGCTTACTCAGTTAGTTCCTCTCCTCCTCTTCCCACACACACGCACACACACACACGCACACACACCATCAGCCTTGCCTTTACCTCTCTTTCCCTCCCTCTATCCTTTACCACTGTGTGGGAGGACAGCTGTGCAGCAGCGGCCATTTTGAATAATATAGGTCAGTGGGAGATTGTGTTTGTGTGTTTGCTGTTATTTTATGCCTGGTGTATGTCAACAGCTCTTCACTCCCAAAGCAAAGGATGCTATGAACAAAATGTTAACGTTGTCAGTACAGGACACAGTTGTTATCATGATTACACACATTGATGTAACGTGTTCCTGCACTACTGATGAAGACAACAAAAAAACAAATCAATCCATCAATGTCATGATGCAAACCAATAGAAATACACATGCAAATGAACCATGGTAACACAAACAACACAGCAAGACTTGTCACATGGTTCTGATGGAGCAAAAAAAAAAAAAAAAAGACAAACAAACACAGACACAGTTACCGAGCAGGTCTCCAGAACTAGCTGTGACAAAGACACAATTGAGTCTGGGGAGAAATAGGAGAAGGAGGATTTGGAGATTTAGAGTCAAGCCTCAGCTGGACTGATCAGCAGACAGCTGGGGTGTCAAACTATCACCTCACACACTTTCCTATGAGACGCACAGATTTCTCCCCATCATAAACACCAATACATGGGAACACTTTCTCTCTTTCTCAGGCTCCTCTCACATACATCCCTCATATCTATTTTTGTCCTGTCCCAAAGCTCCTCTCCCTGCCTCATAAACTTATTAATTAGAAATTATGTAAATGACCCAAAAAAAGGGAGGAAGAGTGTGTGTCAGTGTGGGTGTTACTCTACACGTATGTGTACTGTGCCGAGCTTGTCCTAAAAAAAAAAAAAAAAAAAAAAAAATCGCACCCGCAGAGAAAAGCTCTTCAAAGGCTGTCAAACCATCTTCTCTCCTCTCTTATCCTCCTCCACTCCCTCTTGAGGGAGAAAACAGAGAAGAGGATAAGAGTCAGGATCAGAGGGTTGCAGCATTGGAAACAGCATGGGAACAGGATGAATTTAGACAGAAACCTGCATATTAAAGTAATGTGAGGAAAATTCTGAGCAAATGTCTTTCTATATTTAAATATAGTTAAAATACAGCAACTCAAGCAACCTCAAGAGTAAATTATACATCACCAAATATAGAAGTTTAACTCAGCACATGATTTTTTACATTACATAGGTAATGCATGAATCAAAGAAAAACTAAAATCTGTTTTAAGGATAAGGCTGGTACAATCTTGCACCTTGAAGCTTTCAGATGAGATTGACAATAAAAATATTCTATTTTCCTCATCAATGAGATTGTGATTTGATTCAATCATTTATAGAGCCTCTTGCAAGCCTCCTAACTTGGTAGAAGTGCAGTAAAAAATCACTGGAGCACTCCTTTAACACGTGGCACTACAAACATAGGAAATTCTCAGCATTCATGTTTTATCCACAAACTAGCTCTGATGTCGACTAAATGATCCACGCACTTGGCATGAAGCCTGGTGGTTGCAGCAGCAGGAAACAAGACGTCGGGACTCACAACAAAGGTCTGTTTACTGGTGGGCATGAGATTGAATGAGTGTGTTTGCACACTGAGGGGCACATCAGAGGCACAAAGAGTGTAGTGAAAAGATCATCTGTAACACATTACACTCCAGGAGACTCAATAATGATTGCCTGATGAGGGAAAGAACGCTTTGTTGTACAGTATATGTGTGCGGCCCTTATGAGTGGAAAAGACAAAAACAAGGAGAAAGTGAGGAGAGTTTGCAGACAAACAAGTATAGTGTAGTTCGCAATGAGAGGGTACCAAGAACTAGTTCAGTGGATACAGAGAATGCTCACCACTTCCCTGATCACAGATTATACCAGCCCCCCCCCCCCACCTAATGCAAGTGACATCTGCATGGTGTGATACCACTGTATGACAAGGAAGCAGCCATCTTTATGCCCTCGGTCTATTGTACAGAAGCTGCAGCAAAGCAACAGTCACATGACAACATGGTAACAGTGCCACGACTAGCATGGTGGTGTATTTGCAGATGTAGGCTGGACCTCCATCATTGTCTCCAGCTTAGAGACACATACCGCCCTCCTCAGGCTGCACCGGGTAACACACTGCTGCTCTGCACTAGAGGACTGTGGGAAAGAGTGACGTCATCTAGCATCACTAGGGCTTGTGTCTCTGGGTCAGTATTAAACATGCATTTTATGGCAGTGAATGGGCTCAACTGGTGCATATATGTGGTTTGCTGGCCTGTGTCTCAGTGGGTGTTTAGTATGCATGTGACATCACCACTGCTACAATAAAGGTTTGACTGATGAGTGCTCTCCTATTGGTCTGAATTGTCTGAACTGTGTGTGCCTGTGTGTGTGTGAACATCTGTGAAAGCACATTTCTTTACAGGGGATCTTTTTTTCTTTTTTTGTAAGAGCAGACTGTCTGCAGAGCCAGCGTGTGCCTCTATTGTTGCCATCCCCTTTATCTCCGTGTCTCTGTTGTGATTGGTGCTTTGTCAACTAGTTGCTACTGTGATTGGCTGATCTAGCAAAGGTCGGGACCCAGCAGATGGGTCTATAGTGAGAGTTTAGACGCATCATTCCTCCACTTAAATTGCTTTGAGAACAAATACAAACAAATTAGCCTTATGCAGCCAAACTGACAAGTCTGTATTCATGCAAAAGGACATAGACAGACCTTCAGCTAACAATCTAAAGCTGAAAGCCACAGTATGATGGTGTTTGAAAAAGTATGCAAGGTTGTCTGTCCTCTGGAACGTGATGTGCCTGTATGTATTGGTATGCAAACATCTATGTGTGTCTTTGTATTGGCATGTGAACATCTGGTTTGTGTGCATTTTGTCTGTATGTGCTTAAAGGGGGGGGGGCTAGACAGACGGAGGGCAGACAGCTGAGGATCCCCCATGCAGTCTATTTATTCTATACAACCAGCACAAACACACACACACAGTGAACTGAGGTACAGGTCAAAGGTGAGAGCCTCGGCAGCCTCGTGGCTTTCCATTCAGTCGCACTGCTGTGACACAATGAGCATGACAACACTCAATAGGCCCTCAGTAGTCCTTTAACACTGAGTTGGTGACGTCTGCAGTCAGCACAGCTGTGAGGGGAGGAAACAAAGAGGAGTGCAAAGGAGGGACACACTTCATGTAATGAAGACCATGACATGCACAATGGCAATCACTAGCTCCAAAGACAAAAATGTAACTCTCAACGTGACTCATTGATTTTCCACAAACCTTATCCATATTATACCTAATATAATAACATATAATGTAACAGAATGTAATGTAATATGTTAAAGTACCTAAAATGACTCATTAGACTTTAATATGTGTGTAACAGGAAGAGAGATTCATTATAACATACTGTAAAGAGGTGGTCATTTTTTCAAGTCATGAGCCAAAGTCAAGTCATTTACTAGTGTTAGTCAAGCAAGTCTCGAGTCGTCAAATTTGTGACTTCAGTCTGACTTGAGTCAAGTCGTGTGCCTCAAGCCCCCCCTCATCTGGGAGAGACTGAAAAATGTGAGCCGTTATCCCCATATTTAAATGATATTGTGTCTCCCATGTTTCTAATGATTTTTCTCTCAACCTCCACATGTGGCTGTTTGGATCAGGTATTAAAACTTTTGATTTCCGACATGGTCGGACACACTTAGCGAAAAAACAAACAAACAAAAACGTTTTTTTAGATGATAATGACTTACTGTGTGTAATGAGGGGCTATACCCTTAATAATCGTCATTGCCATAACAGACTATCTCACAAGACTGTGATCAAAGTTTTAAAGCTGCAGAAAAACATAAAAAAGTTTGTCCTGCAGTTTGTTAACCCACTTTAAAGGCTTGAACTATTATTACAATGTTTGACAACAGAATGAGGAAAAACATAGAAACTTTGTAATTACACCTAAGTAAGTGAGTTTTCACCCACCGCTCTTTCTGTGAGAGAATTTGTGTGTCATCATTTAGTTGACGTCTCATGCTCCTGACCCCATCTGGAACATACTGATTATTATCAAATTATCATGCCCGATCGTTTCCTCAGCAAACTTCCGGCGTGTGCAACGGAA